TCCGACTGAAAAAAGAAGCCGAACAAACCATTTTTAAGACAAGCGAACGGGGCCTGTATCATGTCCACCAAGATTCATCATTCAAGGAAACCAGACTTAGAAGAATCTGCTTCGTCAGGAGGATAGAGAACCTTCATCGTCCTACTCGAGCCCCCAAGTGTCGCGATGGATGCTGCTGGTCACCTCTTGTGGCATGAGTTCTTCATGTCGACCAAAAGGTGACGGCCATGACTGCTCCGGTCATATCGCATCCCCATGTGCATATCCAACAGTGCATGCACATGGGAGCATATGCCCTTAGGGGGGACGTTTTCTGGGTCTACTCCAGCACCCATTGTTGCTAGTTTCTCGGGCCAATGGCCGAGCCGATGCAGCCCTGACATCCTGAAGCTCAACGTTCTGGCCCAAGAGTGGACATACTAACTCACTAGCATAGAGAACAAGCCAAGACGTTTGATTTCATGTCTAGCACATCCATGTCCACGTCACACGTGAGTGGGTTGTGGCTCTGCTGAAGAACTAACACCCATAGTCGTCACCGATCACCAACACGTGGAACATGGTGGACTTCATCAACAACACTGACAAGTGCATATTGGATGAACACTAAACTACAGGTAGCTAGCTTGTTTAATGCCTTAGAGCACCTTTCTAAATTCTAAGTTTACAAACATGTGGATAGGCTGGATCAGTCAAACACGGTGGTTGAAGCATGTAAACCAGCACTTCCAAGTCATCATGTAGAAAAGCATTATTGAAATCCAATTGATTTAATAGCCAGCCAAAAGACAAGGTAATGGTAAGTACAACACGTACTGATGTGGGTCAACAATAGGGCTAGAAGTGTCACACTACTACAGGAATCAATTTGCGCAGCGTGGCCAAAATGGGCTCGTATGGGGCACCTCTTTTGCCCATACGGTTAACCCAATGGCGGCCGGCCAATGAGCCGGTCACCGAGGCGCCACTGCGGGAAAAGAGTTTACATGGGCAGGCCACCTTACTTGCCCGCCGCAGAAATCGTTCGTTATCACATGCGGCGGCGGTATGAATCGCCTCGCCAAGATTAATCGATTTACCGTGACGGGCTATTTAAACCGCCTGCCATGCAGAAGAGTTGATTTACCGAAGCGGGCGCTTTATCTTGCCCGCCTCGGTAAAGCCTGTACAAATACACAGCACCACCCCTTCGTCTTCTCCACGGGTCTTCCTCTCTCAAACTCATGGGAGGAGGCTTTGCCCTAAAATTTAAGAAAACTTTTGATTTGAGTTGAAGGGCTTGGATTTGAGGGAGGAGGACATCATAAGAGGTTCATAAAGGCTCTCCCTCTCTCCTCCCATCCTCTCTCTCTATTTCCATCACCTAGAGTTCTCTCTAGATCTAGATCTAGATCTAGATCAATTTTAATGGAAAAAATGATGTCATGTATTTCTTTAACTTTAGATTCATCATAGATGCATGCTTCATCTTTCACATCGTCATTTCCTCTCCTTTTCATGATTTTGGACGTAAAAATCATCAATTTCTCATAATTCTTCTTTATTTAATGTTGATTGTGACGGATAATGTTCGCATGTATGATGGATAGGTCAGAATGGATGTACCGGATCGATAGAGTGAATGATCCGCGGTACCTCTTTGAATTAAGAAAGTTTATTGCTGCTGGTAAAGCTCATCGTGAGAGACTGAAGCGGATGACAACCATATGTCCACGTTCTCGTTGCAAGAACCTGAAAGCCCACCGAGAAAGCGATGTGCAAACTCATTTGATCATGTATGGTTTCGTCGAGGGCTACACAATCTGGACATTTCACGGCGAAAGAGTTGGTGCGAGTGGTGGTGCATCTGGAGTGAGCTCTTCGACGCCGACGACGACAGCACCACCGGTGAATAAAGATCCTTTAGGAGCACCCGGCTCCTCATCATCTTTAGCAGCAGCTGCGCCAGCCGACAGTGACAACAGTTGTCGTGATTACATCACGGTGGATGATCTAATGCAAGACATGGCCGACGAAGCCGACGACGGTGGGGATGGTCAGGATACTGTGAGCCAACCCGAGGATGTGCAGCTTGTTGAAGATCTAGTCAAACACTTCGATGAAGACGACGTTGTGTTGGGTTGCCCAAAGTGGTTGGAGAATTTCAGAGAGTTGAAGCAGGCGGCAGTTGATCCTCTCTATAAGGACGACGGCAATTGTCCGAAGGAGTGCACGGCGCTCTGTTTTAACCTCCATATGTTGATGTTGAAGGCTCGTCATGGTTGGTCTGACACTAGCTTCAATGAGTTGTTAAGCTACCTTGCCACCACGTACCCAATGGCTAACAAGGTGCCCGCCAATACTTATCGGGCCAAGAAGCTGATCCGGCCAGTGGCAATGAAGCTTAGAAAGTTTGATGCATGCCCTAACCACTGCATCCTATATCGGGTCAGTTTAGGAATCTGCTTATGTTGTAGACTAGTGACTCATTATTGTCAAGATGGTAAAGGTTGTCTTTTCTCGCTTCAAACTAGGGGCATAGTTTCTTCTTTAGGTAAGGCTCCTTTCTTGTACCTTGTTCCCTAAATTTAAGTTGTTTTTAGCAAATTTAAGTTACTCGGCAGTACTATGTTGTTTGATCATGATATAAGTTGATTCTTTGTAAGCTCCTGGCTACATTCGCATTCCCTACATAAGTTTTCTGAGTAGTGTTTTCCATTTATATTAAAATGTAATGCTCTCACATCGTGATCACCTAGTTTTCATCCTCATTCTGTTACTAAGAATGTAAAAAATAGAGATGGAAAAATTAGTTACGATTGTAGCCACCCTTATTACTATGCATATATATTTTACGAGTGTTCCTTTAAAGAATGAATGTCATTTGCCATATCTAGGACTCAAAAGTAGCTTACCTTCCCTTCAGAACTGAAAGAGTCACACTATTATTTGACTTTTGATTGTTGCCTCTTACTTCTTCTACTTCGTTATTTGCGTTGGCGAAATATACAGGTTTATTTGGGACAGGAAGTGTCAGCTCTTCCATTCTCAAAGACGAATACTACGGTTGACATGAGTGGCCTGTTGTTGGGGTTGTCCTGCACACACAAGAGCACTATGTGGATGCAAAGCAGAGCCTCATCTGGTATGCAGCTCTCAGCAATGCTTGAATCGGCCAAATCATTTGCTTTCCCTTCCTTCCATAGGTTCCATGCTTGAATAAAGCAAACGAATAATTAGGGTTGTGCTGAAAAATTCAATGTATGTTCTTTACGAAATCAGCTTATACTCACATATACTATAAGGTTTTCAAAGTCCATTATCTGATTTGTAGAGCTCATCTTCACACCACTTATGATTCCCAACGTCAACGCACCAAAGCTGTACACATCAGACTTGACAGAAAATGTGCCTCTCATTGCATATTCTGGAGCCATGTAGCCACTGTAAATATTTTTCTCGCAAGAGTTATATTTTTGGCAACCTTGGTTAATTTGTATGCTAATTTCAGCAAAGGTATAACTCACTATGTTCCGACAACATGCGTTGTGTTTGCATTATGTTGGTTCTCACCAAACATCCTTGCCATGCCAAAGTCTCCTATCTTTGGTCTTATCTCTTCATCCAGCAAAACATTGATTGCTTTGAGATCTCTATGAATTATCTTTAGTCTTGAATCTTGATGGAGATATAGAAGCCCTTTAGCTAGGCACCCCTCTGATTATGTTAAACCGTGCTAGCCAATCTAGTATTATATTGCACGCGGTATCTACAAAGGGCAACAATGTCTTATGATTAATAAACAAGTACAATTTTGTTGAACCATAAACTATAATGTGCAATTAGATCATACTAAAAAGAGAGGAATCTAAGCTTTTGTTAGCCATGTACTCAAAGATCAATAACTTTTCATCTCCCTCTATGCAGCAATCGAGAATTCTAACCACATTTCTATGTTGAAGTTTGGCAATTACAGCAACTTCATTTATGTATTCTGCTATTCCTTGCTCAGAATCTCTGCCAAGCCTTTTGATAGCAACTTCTCGACCATCTAAAGTTTGCCTTGTAGTTGAAATGGACAATGAGGCTGTGTTTAGTTCGAGGGAAAGTTGAAATGGGGGTACTGTAGCACTTTCGTTTTTATTTGACAAATAGTGTTTAATCATGGACTAATTAGGCTCAAAATGTTCGTCTCGCAATTTCTCATCAAACTGTGTAATTAGTTTTTTTTTATCTACATTTAATACTCCATGCATATATCGCAAGATTCGATGTGATGGATACTGTAGCACTTTTTGAAACTTCTTTTGTAACTAAACACGCGCTGAATAAGACCCTGATAGCACGGTTATGTACAGTAGGAAAAGCAGGTGCACTCAAGCATATCTACACTGACATGCGGGCCCCCCATGAGCACACACGGATAACGACCAGCAAGCAATAAAGGCATGTTCCCCACCACGGATGACACGTGGGCCCGAAAACTTCGACCACTTTCGCTATAGCGCGAAATGGCCGAACTGACCCTCGAAGAAGCACAGCGCGGGCGGAAGAAAGCACACCTTGAAAACTCCCGCCTCCAGCCGAAAATAACCCAAACCCCACCCACAAAGCGACTGACAGGATGGGCCCGCGGCTCCCAACCCATCCAAGCCATCGAAGCAGACCCCGCAGGCTAGCCAGAGATCACGTACTCCTAGCGGAAGGCAGCAGCATGCGGCGCGCCGCGCGGCCAATGGGAGGCGAGCGCCCGGATCGGTGACGTGGCAAAAAAAAAATTCAGATCCCGCGCAAATGCCCACCGCCCCTGCCTTTAAAAGCCGCCCCCTTCTGGCCTCCTTTCCCGTCCACTCGTATCAAAGCAACGCAGACCTACAAACGGTTCCGTGCACACACCCAAACCCTCGGCGCGATCCGGCCCCAAGGTACTGCGAAATCTAGATCAAATCGTTGTGAATTCGATGTTGTTGCTATGGGTTGTTGATGTTGGTTTTATTGGATTTGGTTCTGTAGGTCTCGAGATGAAGGCGAGGGCGAGGTCCAGCGGCGGCGACTCCAGGTACTATCCGATTTGGCCGCCTCTTTCATCCATTCTCGTTGTTTTTTTTTGTTGTTGCGGTTTTGACGGGGATTTGTTTGTTTTCGCTGAAGGCTCTCGGTGAGGAAGACCAAGGCTGAGAAGGACCCAAACAAGCCTAAGAGGCCTCCGAGCGCGTTCTTCGTCTTCATGTGAGTTTTAGATTACGCGGCCTTTGTTCTCCCGTTGTTTGGATTTTGTTCTGATCGGTTGGGTCTGGATTTTGCAGGGAGGAGTTCAGGAAGGACTACAAGGAGAAGCACCCCAATGTGAAGCAAGTCTCCGTGGTAAGGCGTTGTTTCATACATGATTCCGTCATTCGATTCGAATATTCGTGATGCGTTGGTATGAAACTTGTGTTTCTGATGTTTGTGGCTCTGAATGGCAGATTGGCAAGGCTGGTGGTGACAAGTGGAAGTCCCTGTCTGATGCCGTGAGTTTGCTTTCTCCCCGTGCCCATTTTAACCGTTTGAGACTGCAGTTAGTTGCGATATTCTTTGTTGCTCTTACGATGAGTGTGCTTCTCTAGTTTCGTACGGGTTGGGTCCCCTGTGTTCGGTTTGTATATCAGCATATAGCATGTGGTTACTTGCTGCAGTATTAGATCTGTTGAAATTCCATCGTTCGTTGAATTCGAACTTGGGGTGGCGGTTTTGTTCGTGATATCAATTCAAATTTCACCATGCCTCATGTTTTGTTATTGTAACTGGCGGCTAAGTTACTAGACGGTTGTTTAGACTTCAGATCTGTGGACTTGCTGCTGCCTAGTCCTATCCTCCTTTGATACTGGCTGTTTGGTTCAATAGATTATGGGGACTCGACACTATTTTGTTCAATTCGATGTTGAAATATGTTCGTCCATAGAGAGTTTTGTTGGTGAACTTGCATGATCACTTGCTTTGACGCCCTGATGCTGTAAATGTTTGTGTCCATTTATGTCTGAAACTAGTACTGAGATGGAACACCCTCTGACGTTGTGCTATTTCTGAATTGCAGGAGAAGGCTCCCTACGTCTCTAAGGCCGAGAAGCTCAAGGCTGAGTACACCAAGAAGATGGACGCCTACAACAACAAGCAGGTACAGTATGTTTCCACACCACTCACGTTGCCCAGCAGTGCCTAGAAATTCGTCCGTATGTGATGTACTGATGCGGGTCATGTGTCATCTGTCGTTGCAGTCTGGAGGCCCCACAGCGTCTGGTGATTCTGACAAGTCCAAGTCCGAGGTGAACGACGAGGACGAGGAGGTCCGTGAGAGCAAAGCCTCCTGGGTCCTTCCTGCCTGCTCTTGTGTTTCCACTGCTGGTTTTACTTTGTGGATCCCAAACCTGACTCGTCCCGTCCATTTGAATCTGGTTTTGCAGGGTGACGAGTGATGGATGACGGATGGAGGAGCTCTGGCCTGCCCAAGTGCTTGCAGTCAGTAGGGAAATTCTCATCGTCGTGGGCCTAACCGGGCTTTGCTGCTCCTTTTAGCCTCTGGAAGCTGTATGTCTTTCTAGATGCAGTAGACTAGTAGTAGTAGTGGCCGCTCGCTCTCTGAGTTGGTAGTTGCAAGTGTTGTCCTTGAAGTGATGCAGTTTAGTTGGTAGTGTGTTCGCTTCTTCGGCACTTGATCGTTGTTGGAATCGGATGTTTAGCCTGCGGTCTGTACTTACCCCAAGCAGCTATGATGCCTGTTTTAAATCTCAGATCTCAATAGATGCCTGTTTTAAATCTCAGATCTCAATAGATGATGGTATTAATTGCTGAACATAATTCATGCTCTCTTGATTGCATCTCTCCAAGCTACCTGCGATTGAGATTTTTGAAGCTGTAAGGGCCCTGAGATACCCTTGGTATGTTTCGGAGTAGTACTCCTATCTTGGAAAGTTAGAGCGGAGGTCAGGAGTTGTTTGTTGGGATCTGGAACTTGGAATGTGCTTGTCGTGGTCTGTCTACATTCTGCAAAGAGCCTCTTCTGCAAAAGAAAGAACCTGTGACTTTATTGGGGATAAAGCTGGCTGCCTTCTGCTGCATCCGCCGGTGCGACGCGAGATCGCGTGGCGCCGAACGGTCTCTTCTGATTTGACGCAGCCAAGAGCCAACACGGAGGATCTGAGTGGCTGTAGGAGTAGTACACGTGCAGTGTTCGTTGCAATCTTTTGGCGTCGCCATTCGCCAGAGCGCGAATCGTACGCTCAACAGCTCGAGCCAAGTCGTCGCAGCTGGGAAAAAGGGCCGATGATCGCGGAAAGGAATGACGCCATCTGCACAATTTGGGACGACCTCCGAGCATGATATGTCAGTCTCGACTCTCATCTCTCAAGTCTGAAGAGTGAAATCAACCTCGACTGAACAGATGGCGTCAGCCATCAACTATTATTAGGTCGTCATATGTCTGGCAATCCTCAACAATTTGACCATGCAATCTGAACGATCTGGAAAGGCTCCAAACTGAGCGTACTGTTGAATTTTGCTCCGGTGGTCCTCTTTAATTTTTTTTTGCACGGATCTTAAAGCATCGAGATAATTAATTAAAATTAATTTTGTTTTGGATCTAGACTGGACCCGGCCCTTTCTGTGTCCAACCCAAGCCCAGCCGCTGCCCATACTTGGCAACGCAGTAGGCGTCGACGGTCCCTCGCCCGCCGTTGGGGCGCTTCGTTGACCGGAGGCCGGTTGCTCGCAAGACGGCGAGCTCGAGGATACCGATGGCCTGCGACCGGAGCGGCCGTGCCGATGGCTCGAAGTCGCTGGCATACGACGTCGCCTCGTCGAGGACGTGGTACGCCGCATCGTAGTAGACGCGCAGCTGTATCTTGCTCCTGAACTCGTGCTGCCGTCCTCTGTCCCAGACATCGCCCTCGCCATCGCCGTCGGAAGAACGCAGCAGCTGCTTGAGGTCGTACCTTGACGGCGCCGGCGGCTTGAACTTCTTCTTCTCGTCGAACTGCAGCACTGCACCTTGTCCGCTCCGGCAAGGCGATGTCCATGACGGCGATCTCCAGCGGCTCGTCGAATGGCCACGCCTGCGACCGGAGCGGCCACGCCGTCAACACCTACTGCGTCGCCAAGTATGGGCAGTGGCTGGGCTTGGGTTGGACGGAAAGGGCTGGGGTCCATTTCAGATCCAAAATAAAATTAATTTTAATTAATTATCTCGGTGTTTTAAGATCCGTGCATTTTTAAATAGAGGACCACCGAAGCAAAACTCTTAATAAAAAAGAGAAAGGAAACATTCGAAAACGCTGCAACATCGCCTGGCAAAATGAAGGACCTAATAGCCGTACACCTGCATTTTTACATAGGACTAGCGCAGTCCAAGGGAAGGGAGTGCTTTGACCATATGGCTGATCGAGTAAATAGAAAATTCTGCAATAAAACAATCGTGTTTAACCACTGACTGAAGAACGTGGTAGGAGTCTTGTTCCACCAAATAGTTTACCAGCCATGATTTTCCCACGGATTAGTGATAAGATTTTTTTTCCTGTTCGAGTACATTCAATCAGTTCTATGAAGCAAAAAAGAAAAACATATTCAATCAGAGATACTAATACACACGGGCACATGGCTTTCCTAACTACCATTGGGACACGGAGGTCAGAATTGTCAAACTCAACAAAGTCTGCAAAGTACTCCTTCCGGTTCTCTAAATCAAGTCGTTTTGAGGTTGTCTTAAGTCAAACATTTTAAACTTTGACTACAAATAACTTCTTTTGGGTTGAGTTTGAAAATATGAAAGTGATGTAAGTAGATTCATCTCGAAATATAGTTTCATAAAAATATATATTGACTATATTTTATAAATATTTTATAGCAAAAAGTAGCGGTCAAAGTCGTTTCTTAAAGACCGTGTCGATGTCCAAAACGACTTGCTTTAGAGAACCGGAGGGAGTACCAAACAATTGTATTCGACGATTCGCCGTTGGTGCGTGCAGAAAAGGATCAGATCAAGATGCTCAGGTACTCAATCTGTCTCTAAATAACTATCGCAGTTAATGTATGTGTCGCAAGTTTGATTTGATTTGTAGAAAATACGTGTAATATTTGTATCTTCAAATAAATTTATTGAAAAACTAGATTCAAAAATCTTTCAATAATACTAATTATGTATCATAAATATTAATATTTTTAATATATATATAGTTAAAGTTGTTTCTCGAGAAGCGAAAATGATATATATTTAGGTACAGAGAAAGCACATAACTTCACCTATGTTGTCTCAACATAGCAGGTCCCAAGCCCTGATAAAGGAGGGTTGTGATAGGCGTGGCAATCCAACGTTAAATCTAACCATTTTAATGGAGATGAAATCCAAAAGAAAATCGTTGGGGCGTAACCCTCTCTAGCGACGCGCCATATCAAAACCCGGGTATGGTGTTAAATGGGCAAGGGCCGAGTCGGCACCCCCTTGGTGACGCGCCGTGTCGCGATCTGGGCATGGTGTCAAGTGAGCAAGGATCGGGTCGTCGCTTCCTTAGTGGCGCGCTACATCGGCGTCCGGGTGTAGTGAAAAATGAGCAAGTCGACGGGTGCGAAGGGTAAGGAAGCTAGTCGAACCAAATAGGATCCGTTTATGTAGTTAGAATGTAGAGTCGCTTACAGGTAAGTTAAGAGAATTAGTTGATACCGCGACTAGGAGACGTGTAAATATATTATGCGTTCAAGAGACTAAATGGAAGGGTCAAAAGGTGAAAGAGGTGGATAATACATGTTTCAAGCTTTGATACACATGGACAATCGCGAATAAAAATAGAGTAGAAGTTTTGATCGATAAGAGCCTAAAAAATGGTGTGATGGGAGTGAGAATGCAAGATGATAGGATTATCTTAGTCAAGCTTGTCGTTGGTGATATGATTTTGAACGTATTTAGTGCGTATGCCCCCCAATTAGGCCTCGACGAGAGTACTAAGAGACAGTTCTGGGAAGACTTAGATGGCCTGATTAGGGTTGTACATAGTAGTGAGAAGCTTTTTATAGAAGGAGATCTTAATGGGCATGTAGGTACTACAAGCATAGGTTTCGAGGCAGTTCATGGAGGTTTTGGGTATAGTAGTAGGAATCAGGAGGGGGAGGAAGTTCTGGACTTCGCGGTAGCTTTTGACCTGATGATAGCCAACACTTTCTTTAGAAAGAGATAATCTCATCTAGTGACCTTCAGTAGCGGACAACACTCTAGCCAGATTGACTTTATCCTTGCAAGAAGAAAGAACAAACGAGCATGCTTGAGTTGCAAGGTGATATCAGGGGAGTGTGTTGTTTCTCAACATAAGCTTGTAGTGATAGACTTTTATTTTCAGGTGCGTGCTCGTATGGATAAACAAGCTAAGATTAAAAGAACAAAGTGGTGGAAACTGAAAGGGGAGACGTCAGAGGTATTCAGGGAAATGATTATCAAAGAGGGCTATTGGAAGGAAGAAGAGGACATAAACAACATATGGGAGAAGATGGCAACCAACATTCGAAAGGTTGCCTCAGAGGTGTGTGGAGTAACCAAAGAAAGTGGAGGCGAGGCTAAAGATACTTGTGGTGGAATGAGGAAGTCCAAAGGGCTATTAAGGAAAAGAAAGAATGCTATAGACACTTGTACCATAACATGAGTGTGGACAACATAGAGAAGTACAATATGACAAAGAAGACTGCAAAACGAGCTATAAGTGTGGCAAAGGGTAGAGCGTACGAGGATCTTTACCAAAATTTAAGTATGAAGAAAAAAGAGAAGGACATTTATAGGATGGCTAGGGTTCGTGAGAGAAAGACAAGGGACTTCAACCAAGTTAAGTGCATTAAGGATGAAAGGGAGCATCTCTTGGTGAAGGACGATAAGATCCGACATCGATGGCAAGAGTATTTTAACAAATTGTTCAATGATGAGAATACGGACACAACCTTTTAGTTGGATGACTCTTTTGATGACACCAATAGGCGCTTTGTGCGGAGAATCCAAGAATCTGATGTTAGAGAGGCGTTGAAAAGGATGAAAGGAGGTAAGGCGATGGGACCGGATGGTATCCCAATCGAGGTGTGGAGATGCCTCGAGGACATAGCTATAGTATGGCTAACCAAGTTGTTCAACCATATTTTTTGATCGAACAAGATGTCTGACGAGTGGAGAAGTATATTGGTATCGATCTATAAGAATAAAGGGGATATTCAAAGTTGTACTAATTACCGAGGAATTAAGTTGATGAGCCATACTATGAAGCTATGTGAGAGAGTTATCGGGCATTGCTTGAGAGCAATAACACGGGTATCTATGAACCAATTTGGTTTCATATCCGGAAGGTCAACCATGGAAGCCATTTTCTTAATAAGACAAGTTATGGAGCGGTATAGGGAAAAGAAGAAGGACATACACATGGTTTTTATTGACTTGGAGAAGGCTTATGATAAAATACCAAGGAATGTTATGTGGTGGGCTTTGGACAAACATAAAGTCCCAACGAAGTACGTCGGGCTCATTAAGGACATGTACAATAATGTTGTGACTAGTGTTCGAACAAGTGATGGAGACACGGATGACTTCCCGATTAGGATATGACTACATCAAATGTCACATTTGAGCCCTTATCTGTTTGTCTTAGTGATGGATGGGGTCACAAGGGACATACAAGGGGACATCCCTTAGTGTATGCTTTTCGTGGACGATATAGTGCTAGTTGATGAAAACCGGACATGAGTAAATCAGAAACTGGAGTTGTGGCGGGAGACTTTGGAGTCCAAAGGTTTTATACCCAATAAAACTAAAACTGAGTATATGAGATGTGACTTTAGCACTACTACTCGGGAGGAGGAAGATATTAGTTTGGAAGGTCAAGTAGTGCCTATAAAGGATACCTTTCGATATTTAGGATCAATGCTACAGAGAGACGAGGATATTGATAAAGATGTTAGCCATATAATCAAAGCGGGGTGGATGAAGTAGCGCCAAGCATCTGGTGTCCTATGTGACAAAAGAGTACCACAGAAGCTAAAAGGCAAGTTTTATAGGACGGTGATTAGACCTGCTATGTTGTATGGTGCAGAATGTTGGCCTACGAAAAGACAACATGTTCAACAGATAAGTATCGCAGAAATGCGTATGTTGCGTTGGATTTGCGGTCATACAAGAAGGGATCGAGTTCGGAACGATGATATACGTGATAGATTAGGGGTAGCACCAATTGAAGAAAAGCCTGTCCAACACCGGTTGAGATGGTTTGGACATGTCCAACGAAGATCTCCAGAAGCACCGGTGCATAGTGGAATCCTAAGCCAGGATAGTAATGTGAAGAGAGGCAGATGAATACCGAAGTTGACTTGGGTAGAGGCAATAAAAGGAGACTTGAAAGGATGAAATATACCTAAAGACTTAGCCTTAGATAGGAGTGCTTGGAAAACACACGTGCCTGAACCTTGATTGCTTCTGCTGGGTTTTAATTCTAGCCTATCCTAATTTGTTTGGGACTTAAAGGCTTTGTTGTTGTTGTTGTTATTGTACAGAGAAAGCACATCGCACGAACACGCCACGAAGATGAGCCTGACAGCGTGCACGCACTTGTCATTCCTCTCCCTCTTGCTGCCATCGTGCGCATTCCAGGACAAGCTCGTCGTCGGCAAGCCGCTCTCCCCACGATGATGTCAGGCTTCTTCCCCCCTCCAACTCCACACCGGCGAAGCTGTACCTAGGGATTTGTGTACATGTAGTACTCGCTCCGTCTAAAAAAAATACAATTATGAGATCCGTGCCGATCAAAGTAGCTCAAGTTTAACAAAATTTATAGAAAATATTATTAATATTTATATCTCCAAATAAATTTATTATGAAAATATATTCTGTGATTAATCTAATGATACTAATTTTGCATCAGAAATGTTAGTATTTCTTTATATAATTTTGGCCATTGCATTTTTTTTTTTTTTTTGGACGGATGGAGTACAAGTACATTTACATAATTAAGCACGTTTGTGCTGATGAATAATATCCCTACTAGTCTACGGGAGCTGCAGAGTGTAATGGATCATGCATGGCCTTATGCAGGAGGTCCGTTAGCTCGTCAACGGTGGCGACCACGATCATATGACCGGCACGATGCATCTCTTGGAGTGTGACTGTGTACGTAGACAGTGGACACAAGCGTTGCCTTTGAGAAATTATTGGCATGAACTCGTCATATTTGGAGAAAAGGCAAATGCTGAATGACGTGGCATCACGTGGCTTTTCTCCAGCTTCTGCACCGCACCCAGCGTTCTCACTCGGTTTGGGCAGGCGTATCTTGACAAGTCTTTGACCAATGATTTCTTAGTATGATATTTTTAAATCATATATAGGTGTATATGTTCGAATAAGAATCTAATAACGTCAAAGTTTGTGTTACAAAAAAAAAACTATTGTATGAATGTATAATTGTCTGTCAGAGATATCCATTGTAAATCCATTATATTTTCATGTAACAAAAAGTGCTTCCGTAGCATAGTGGTAGTGCGTTCGCTTCGTAAGCGAAAGGTCGCGAGTTCGATCCTCGCCGGGAGCTCTATTTTTGTTTTATTTATTTTTTATTTATGTTTTTGTTCACTGTATTAGGCTAGTCCTTTGCCTCGTTGTGATGAGCATTTTGCGTGCTCAGTCACGGATGCGAAATTTCAGAACGCAAAAACTGTTCTAATAGACAATGGGACGCATCAAGAACTGTAAATGGATATACACACATCAACATCCTAGTTTCCTACTGCCAGGCCATGCGTTTTACACCCCACTTCAGCTCAGGGAACTTCTCTAATCCATGTGGATGTTTGAAACTATGAATCTCCATGGCGACGTGACATCTGCGTCTCCTCCCCGCATGCCATATCTCACAGAACAAAGTTCTTCCCAATGCTTCACGGCAAAGATCACCATTGTCTCATGAGCTCTACATCAAATTATGTACCAGTTGTGGATCTGTTCGAGGCAGGTAACCTAAGCTGCTCCACAGAAAATCCAAGGGCAGAAAAATTGGAGTATTGTCAATTATACTCTGATGAGAAGTCTACTGTGTTGATGCAGCATGAGGATCATGCGAACCTGATTAGACTTGAAATTCTGGGAAAGTGATCACAAGCAGAACGGCAAAAGATAACAGCAGTGGCAGCAGGCAACTGACCTTAGACCTTCTTGAGTTCAGTGCCACAGGATCCTTCTTTAATGGCTTATATGCAAAGGACTCAAGGTCGATCACCGATGGCGATGGAGGGGAGATGGAGTCACTAGCATCTCTCCGAGTTCTTGAAATCTTCATATGAAAGTAGATAGACCCATTATGTTTTTCTAGTTTTCTAAGTGTATCCCATCATATTAGTCCTACAACAGATTAACACCCATACCTGTCCCTTTGATGGCTCAGACTGGACATCCAAACGATCACTGAACAAGAGCACCTTAATTTGAAGAGGCAACAATTAAGCTAAGGTAACAGTAGCAGTAATAAACTACAAATATGCATCCAGATAAGCAAACTACCTTTTCCACCAATTGTTGATTTAGCTTATCAGTTGCAAGAACTTGCACGCCGAGGACCATGGCACATTTGTTTTCAGAAGAGCAGAAAGTACAAGTCATTGCATTGTACACACATCCATCCTTTGCAGACCAAACATGGCCCTGGTTTCTGAATTTGCCAAATATATTTTGGTTGAGTGAAGAAGCTTCGCACTCCACTACTCGTACCTCTGCTGGTGTTGATGCCGAAAAATCATCCTCCAGAAAGCCAGCAGCTGACAGCCCATGTCTCAAAAGATATGCCAAGTACAATTTCGACGAAGAAGATTGTGTACAAGTAACAAGAAACCCATCTTCTTCTAACCCAAGAGCTGTTTTGCATCTAATGCAACTTATAAGAAGTTTCTTCTGCATAGACTTCTTTGCCGAAACCTCTTCTGGCTTGTAATTTCTTTCAAGCTTGACATTTTCACACCTGGACAATCCTATATTTTTACAACACAATTCAGAATTTCTATTCACATCCCTAGGCATAGCAGGAAGGGCAGGCCTGGTGCAGTGGTGAGAGCTGTCTCGATGAATCACCAGGTCGCGGGTTCGAAGCAGCCTCTCCGCAGATTTTGCGGGGGGAAGGCTTGCCTCGGTTTTTCCCTTCCCCAGACCCCACTCATGTGGGAGCCTCCGGCACTGGGTCTGCCCCTTTTTATCCCCAGGCATAGCAGAACCAGTGTGGCAGAATGATTTGCTTGGAGAACTAGAACGCATTGTGTAAGTACAACAGCTCATTGGGGAGCTCAACCTTCTCTTTTTCTCGCAGTGAGAATTTACACTTCTGTTGATCAAAGACTCATGACAGTCTTTGTCGGTGGTTCTTTCAGGAGTAGCTGCTGGTGTGGACAGAGAAGAAATATTTCTATTTGTTGAAAAAAGCGAAATGGGCATGTCTACAATCTGATGTCCATTGTTGATCCGTACTGAGGTGTTTACCTCAGAATAGTTGCTGGGACTAGCTACTGGAGTCGCTGCAGAAGTTTCCTCAACAAGAGTAGGTTGCCGTGATCTGTCTTCTAATGGATTTAAGATAGTGATCTCTGCATACCTGTGCATGTGAAGAGTGAAGACACCTATTTAAAGAAAAACAAATGATGATACAATAGTAGGAAAAAGAATGCCTGAAAAATGTTAAAATTACCGAGGTTTAAAATCATCATCCTCCAAATTTATAACTTCTGTTTTGACTCCATAATTTGCTCCAGTATTGGCTACACTTTCGAAATCAGATTGAATTTTGCAGGGAGGCAATGGATATGACATTGGAAGACTTTCAGGTGATGAAGAGTTTTCTTTCTTTACTAAAACAGAAGATCTCAAAGAGATTTTCGATACTTCTGGCGATGTATAACACATACCCATAACTTTTTGGTCTACCACCACACCATCAGTGTTTGGAACTCTCTGACTAAGACATTCAGTCTTTACCTTCTGATTACATTGTGATACTGAGTGGTTTGAGGAACTCAATTCTGGCCACGGCAACTTTCTTTTATCATCACTGAGAGATTGAGGTGCTTCGCTATCCAACTTAACCTTGGGGAAGATGCCACAATCTTTGATTTTTATTTTTTCCTGAAATGGTACCATGCATTTAGAGAAGCCCAACCACATTTAGAAAATCAAATGTGTAAAAAGAGCAATACCTCAGCATTCTGAAAGAACTTTTGCAACTCAGCCATTGTCTCCTGGAAGCTATCATACTTCTTGATTGCATTAAAAGGGCGTACCCAGTGCAGAGAGCTCCCGCTCTGTGCGGGGTCTGGGAAAGGGTGTTAGTGGTAAGCCTTACCCCTCGCCTGTGCAATGCGAGGAGACCGCGACTCGAACCCGGGACCTTCCGGTCACAGGCGGTAAGACTCTACCGCTTGCACCAGGCCCGCCCTTCCTGATTGCATTCCGAAGCCATTTGGAGATGTAGGCAACATTTCTGCCTTCCTGATATCGCTCATCTGCACACCATATACATGGGAATTAAAAATGAAAACCACACACTCTATTTTCTAAAAAGAGGAGCACTAAACCATTTCACTTCTAAACAGTTATATCAATAAAATACCAAAACTTTACGTATCAACTTTTCTCTCTAGACATGCAAATGGTTGGGAGTGGATAACTGATAACATACCAATCAGAATTATGCCTCCATAGTCAGATTTATGACGAATACAATGACCTACAGAAGACAAGGACAACAGTTAGCCATTGCCAATAGCTTAGCCACAGGCGATGCCTGACAGGTAAGTCAATAGCTAAATACCTGCAGCTTGATTTAAAGCACGAAATGCCTGATGACAGTACCATTCACTCCCACTTAACAAATGCTTTGATGAATTGTATGAATCATTATATCTCTTTTTCAGCTTTACTTGAACATCATTTCTGATCCATGTTGAATCAATGTTAGTATCTAAACAAAGAAAAACACATTGGATTTATTTACTAAAACGGAAAAAAAGAAAGGAAACAAACTTACATATTTGGAAAAGGAATTCCAACAATGACCTTATGTCTGGTTAAGGAAACAGATGAATATCAAAATCATTTATTGTATTACATCAGAACAGGTATACCAATCATGCTACATGCCAGTAGGGCCAAGTGTTTGATACTGAACTTTCTAGAGCATACAATTTAATATCAAAAAGGGAAACAAAGGATACCACAACTCTAGCATTGTCATCAACGAAGTCAATCCCTTCAGATACCTAGAAATAAAATCAGGAGCCAGCAAAACATAAGCTAATGGTAGCTGGCATACGCACAACATTATGCATAAGAAATTTAAAGTAGGGTTTAAACATGTACATAAATTAATATAAACATTTAGTAATAAAATAGCACCTTCCCACGGCAAACTGCAAGAAGAGCAGCTCCTGCTTTCGCTGATTCCTGTGACGATTTTTTTGTCACTCGATTCTTCACTATTTGTTTTGAATCACCTCTGGCTTTCTTGACAGGAGCCTTACCAAGGATTGCATCATAGTACCCTTTTAAAACAGGATCGAGTTCCTCACTACTTCCCTTAGGCTCTGAAACAAATAAGTTTTGAATAAAGAACACAGAAAATTGAACATGACATAATACTGTCTTCTATAATTAGTGAAATGGCATTTTGAAATGCTTCAAAAGATCTTACCAACAAACACATGTTTTTGAGCATTAAGCCGTGCCCATTGACCTGTCTGAGACCAGCGCACTTGCAATTTGTCCAACAACTTGTAGCTAGGAAAAAACACTAGAGCACCACCAGGCACAATTCTGCATATTTCCTCTAGTGAAGCTCCAAGTTCATCCTATGTAAAAACGGGAAAAAAATTTAAAACACTGTAAAAATAGAATAATATTTTTAAATTAGGGTTCCTAACATATATATAATTCAATGAAAAGTTACCTGGAAAGATGAATTGTCCACAGTTTTATAGCTAGCATTCAATATTTGCCTTGTTGGACCAGATGATAGCACAGCTGCAAAAACCTGCAAAGCCAAGATAGACTTAAAAAAATGCAAGTAATAGCTACTGTTTGGCATAGGTTATATTTGCTAATGTTCTTCTAACCACAAAAGGTCCATAACTCCATATCCAGGTCCTAAACAAACTAAGGGTTAGAGCTCATTAGGAAAATTATTTTCTTTGCTGGCAGTATGAGGGACAAATTAACCAGTTTTTAAACTGATGAAAATGAGAATCAATTGACAAGTCTTTAGAGAGGCTACAAATTACCATAAGGACAGCAAGGCTAATCAGGCCCGGTCCTGGCAGGGGTCGAGCAGTGCCCCCACACTGGGCCCTCCCAGGAATCTAAAGGCAGCGTTGGTTTGGCTGTCAGGCACGTTGCCGGTTTAATTTGTGACATGTTCAACCTTGTGGCATCGTTTCACTTAATGCTCGAGTTGTAGCCTATACTTGTATAATCTCAGCTTCTATACATGTGCTTGTGCAACGTGACGTGACCCACGTGACTTTGTCAATAGACTATTAATCCATACTTCCTCTGTCCCACATTATAAGACGTTTTGGCAATTCTATATTCATACCTTTTACTATGTATCTAGACATAATATATCTAGGTGCATAGCAAAAGTTATGAATCTAAAAAAGCTAAAATGTCTTATAATTTGAAACGGAGTACCTTTTATCGTTTACTCAGTCTCACTATTTGTTACTTCGTCCATCCTAAAATAAGTACATACCCTATTAATCAAGGAGTCAAATATTTTTAAGTTTGATCAAATATATATACACAATAATACTAATATTTATTATGTGCAATAAGCATTATTACATTAGTTGTGCATTATATATTTATAATAAACTATTTTAAGATACAAATATTGATATTATTTTATAGTTAAATTTAAAAGAGTTTGACTCTCTGAGAAGCGTGATGTGTGTTTATTTTAAGACAGAATGAGAATATGTTAAATACCAAACTAAAACACCGTGATCGATCCCCTGCACGTACGGATTGGCGCACAAAATTACATAATCATTTTTTACCTGTAAATATTAAATTGCTTGATAATTTTAGATGTGTTTATTGGTAACATTTCATATGCATATTTTTCCCTTTATTTCAATTTTTAAGGGGCCTTCGTCTATGATTTCGCTCTAGGCCCTTAAACCCTCAGGACCGGCCCTGAGGCTAATAAACCAGCTCTAAACAGAATTTTCGAGTTCAAATTGTGATATATATATATAGTAGTGCATATCAAGTTCAAGCCATGCATATTATCTCAATAATGCAATTTTACTAAAGCACTTCATGTAATTACATATTGGTACATTGGCATGCCAAAATATGCCATCAGATAAAGCTTGCAGATACAAATTACACCTCTCTTCTTTCCCTTTAGGTGAGATAGGAAATCCTCACTTCCAATGGTGAGTTCAAATACTTTATGCACAGATTTTGCATTGTACAAAAGTGAACTAGTGTCTATTTGCAGCAAAAAAAAATCGCATCCCGGTTTTGACCAATTACTCTGTCACCAAATAAATATTTTGAATTTCAGAATCAAGAAACACAGTATTATCTTGATTCCTCTACTCAACGCCCAATAATACAAATCCATCACCATGTGGTTATGACATGATACAGCGGACAACTAGCAACATACGTACCTGAGAATCAGCATTAATTACATGAGGAGCTTCCATGCAAGCCTCAAACTGGACACCAAGTTCAGATGTAAAAGAACCCATTGGTGAAAGTGTTCTGCAGATACATGTAGTTTCAGTCTTTCAGAGCTGTAAATTATCTGACACTGGAGAGACTTAGAAAGGCAATTTATAAGAACCTCAAAAGTTGCATAACATAATGACTTTTTAGTTACCTATCTCAGTTGGACCATGTGCCTACCAGGTACTGAAAACATTTTTTTATATCTATATATCTTATAATCCTAAACCCTACTAGACTTCTATCTTGACATGCAAGCCATCTACATCAGCAGCCTGACTTCTATCTTGGTCCAAAAAAAGCCTTACGTAGGGCCGTTGCTGACAGTCACTGCCTATTTGGTCCCCTATCCCAAGAACAAAAGAAATGAAATGTTCAGTTATACAGTTCCAAACCAATGTGCAGTTCAAAGAATTGACATATTCAGACTAGCTACCGGCAGCATGTCTAGTTCCTCTTCCATGTTTTTTTGTCCTTCTAAATTTCACATTGACCATCTAATTAGATATCTGCTGCTTAACAGGGCCATTTTACCAGCTTATTGATAAGCGAGAAAAGGACTATCCAGACTTACCCAGAAGTCAGAATTACCGAAAGTGTTCGATCTGCAATTTCTTGAAAAACAACAGCAGGATTGAGACACCACAAACTCATTGTGCATCTTGAAGAAATTTCATCATTGCCTGTAAATGGTTCATATGATGAAATTACACAAATTGCTCCTTGAATTTAAAAATGGAATAGAGCTTGTTGGATATCCAAGCATATACACAACTTTATCACATTAAATCAGCAACCAAGTTCTTGACTTCAAGAACAGTACCAGTGTACCACTAATGGTTCAATTGCAGGATCTAAGCTGTAAGATCTAGAGGATTGAATATATTCACAAATGTTCTGTTATTCTACTTCCATGTTAACAGGAAAAACTTATAACAGGAACTATGCTTTTTTCTAAAGGATAAACAAGCTTGCTACCTTCCTTTTTAACAAAACGCTGCAAAGCAAGCTGATAATCACACGAATTACGCCCTTTCTGACCAAAAAAGTAACTCAACGAAGAGAATAGACCTGCAAAAGATTGTATAACATCATTGGGTTATTAAGTGTATTCAAGATTGAATTAAATAAAGTAATCACCACTCTACTGCTTACTCTCTAGTGTCATAGCACGACCACCACTTAAGTGTGATCCATCTGATTCAGTATCTGAAGCAGCTTTAATCGCCTAAAGCAAGAAGGAAGTTGAAAATCTGAATGTTTCACAGCCACATAAAAGATCAATATATGCAACTGCACTGTGATATAAAAAGCACCTTTGTTGCACATTCTTGCAATACCAGGAAATACATTGGAGAAATACCAGCCCGCTGAAGTTCATTCATTGCCTTTTCACCAGTCCAACTGATGATTACAAAAGGTTAAGTACACTGATGGTATGAAAAACATCAATGCTGCATTGTAAACATTTAGTGCTTCTAATGGGTTACGCAGTCGAAAGTTCATGGATATATTTCGCAAACTCAATATTTTGTTTTTTTAATAAAGGAAATAATTTTATTTCTTTTAGATAATACATTAACAATTAGACATGAATAGTGATAAGTTGCTAGCTTCAACTTATGTTGCTAAGCAAGTAATGGCTCAACATTTGATAACAAGTAGGCTAAAGATAGTCGATCTAATGGCCATGGCTAACCAGTAACCACAAGTCAATTTGTCAACTTATGTTGCACGATCAAGCAATGGATCGATTTCTCGAAATGTAGTTGACTAGATTGCAGTGTTAAACTGTATAATTTTTTCGTTACATTATGTTTAACCATCTACACGTATGGAAGATGAAGTGGCAACCACTTCTCTTTTAAGATGAGAAGTTAAAATGGTAATCAATAAATCATATAAGAAACTAAAAGAGTCTCAGACTACATACTATGAAGCGGGATGTCCGAACTCATGATTATGCAGATTGTCCTCCCGCTCAGCAATCCAACCAATAAGACCCTGCAGAAGTACTAAAAGCTTAGCTCTAAGAGTAATATTAATACTAACACTATCCTTCCTTTTTCTGGAGAAGAACAGGGCAATTAACTCTCTTCTCTTCTTGTAGAAGTACCTGAATAATATCGTGCAAGGGTTGGTAAATCATTGCAACAGCCTCATCAGTGGCCAAGTTTTGAAGTTCTCCCTGCAACACTTTGCCATAGTGAATTAGCTTTAGCATGTGTTTTAAATTTTAACAGAACATGAATTTTAACTGAACAATCATGGAATTTGACTTACAGCAAAGTGATTCTTCATCGATGTCAACACTGCCAGCATCACGTGCTATGTCTTCTATGTTGCTGAGAAAAGAGGACGCAATATGAAGAAAAATAATTGGAATTCAGGCTCCACCATGTCACAAGACTATAATTGCTATGGATATAATGAGGGTCACATAAAAAATATTTCAGCTTGATTGATAAAACTATTGAAGTACAAGGAAATCAACAGGTAGCTGAAAAGAGTCCTAGAAGTGAAGTCTTACTGTGCCTCATCAAGAATAATGATGGAACCACTGATATCGATGTCCATTGCTCTCCTGACAACTGGACTAATCAGGTAGTTATATGGGCAGAAAACCAATTGTGCTGCTTCTGCCATGTGCTGTGCAGCAAAATATGGGCATCCTGCCAATAACAGGAAAAGAGATAATTGAATACTCCCTCTGTCCCATAAAAAGTGTCATTTTTGCTTCCCGAGAAATCAAACATTTTAACTTTGATCAAATATATATATAAGAAAATATTAATATTTATAACACATAATTAGTATCATTAGATAGATCGTTGAATATATTTTCATAATAAACTTATTTAGAGATAAAAATGTTGCTAACATTTTCCATAGACCTAGTCAAACTTAAGAAAGCTTGACCACCACGACTCCCATAGCGATTCTTTCTATGGGACGGAGGGGATTAGATATCAGCAGTGACCAGATCAGAGCCAGACTATCCTTAGGAGGAATCAAGTGCAAATAAAAGATATTTATGTACCCTTTGCTTTCTGTCCAACTCTGACAAGATCCTCAATATCGTGAACTTCATAGCAGCCACCAATCTGAAGGGATGGATGCCGACTTAGTTTCTGAGCATTCCTGCAAGTTTTAACTGATTTCATTAAAATTCCAAGATAAAAAGATGCTCTCCTGGCTAATTATATGTTCTGACGTTGAAAAGATAGGAGACCTCACTTGAATTCTGGGCAACCTTGAACCATCTTGTCTAGCAGCGACTTGCTGATGAGGGAAGTTCAACTAGAAGTTCGGTTAGCAATGACAATGCAGGAGCTTTGTACGAGCTAATCTGTTGTGTACAGTACCATTGCTCATCAATGTTGTCGCTCGCGCGAGCAAACTTATTGACACAGTAGTGCTTCCTTGAGGCCTGCATTGCTAGAGTACGGATTCTAAGCAGTAGTCTTAATTTTATTTGCCTCTGCTACTCTAGTTGGATGATGAGTTCTCTTTCTTACCAGAGAATGAGGCAAGAAATAAAATAAATAAATTCAGATGGAAATAGGCGTTACCAAGATGGCCATGCGCGCTCGGTACGACGTCTTGCGATACTCCCGGACAACCTGGCTTATCTGCGCGTGCGTCCTCCTTCAGAAACACAAGAAACGAATAAATCAATCAAGATCATCCAATCCCCTCATCAATTCGAGTTAATAGGCAGAGATCCTACGTCGCGTAATAGATTGTCGGGGCGTTCTTCTTCTTGACAGCCTTCTCCGGGACGACTGAACAATCAAGAACCCCAAAAGGCAAAATGAGCAAACGACAAGCCACAGATACCAAGAAGAGCAGTTCTTGGTCCAAGAACCCCCGAACGATACAATAGGGAAGGGAGAGCGGGGCGGACCTGGCGTCGCCTGCGGCTGGGTATCATCGGGGACGAATCCTCCGCCGTGGAGGAGTGGATCGGGGGTGGGGGGCGGGAGGGGAGCGGAGCGGGTAGTGCCGCTGCCAGGCGAGCGCGGAGCAGGAGGAGGGAGAGCGACTTGCCGGTGCCTGTGGGCGACTCGAGGAGCGCGTGGGAGCGCCCCTGCCGCCGCGCACGGTCGAGCGTGGCGATGACCCGCCCCATGAACGCCAGCTGCGTCCCGTAGGGCTTGTAGGGGAACTCCACCGGCACGCCGCCCACCTGGTACACGCCTCCGCCTCCTCCTTCCGCCCGCGCGCGCGGGGCGGGCGGCGGCGAGGCGAAGTCGTCGTCATCGGCCATGGCGGCGCCGCCCATCGGCGGGTGGCAGAGAGGATTTGGGTGGTGGTGGTTTGGGGCTTTGGGCGGGAGGAATTGGGGGGAAATGCGAAGCAGAAGTGCTCGAAATGTCGTCGCGCGCCACCAGAGATCGTGTCGCGAGATGGGTTTGTGTTCTTGGCACAATAGGATTTAGCCCACTAGCAAGTTTTTTTTTTTTTTTTTGAGATTCTCAACTATGATCCCACTAGCAAGTTTTTTTTTATAATGCAATCCCACTAGCAAGTTGAGATCATAGAAGGAAGCGATCTGGTCTGATCAGTTCATCTTCATTCGGTTCCTACAAAACAAGTAAAAAATCTGGTCGCCTCATCCTCATTTCCATTCCACCAAATTACAGCGTGGTCAACAGGTCAAGTAATTTTCACCGGAGGAAGTATTTTTTTAATTAATAGAAGAAAAATAAGAACCATCATTTGCAAATTGCAAACGGGCGGCCGCCCTTGGCACTTGGCAGTTGGTGTAATGGTGTTGGCCAGTGGAAACAAGCACGGCGGCTTCACAAAGGTATCACACCCATCTCAACTTTAACTAACCACATTGGCACGGTTGAATGGAGTTTTACATAGATTTCCATGGCATGAATTGTTGTACTAACAATTAACAAACCAGAATGTACAAACTTTACAACATGCCGTGGCAAAACCCACTCGCCTGTCAGGTGAAGGGCGCCGTTTTATCTCTTCCTCATGAATGAATACTACCTAGTATATATGTACAATTGTACAGCACAGCGAAATTCCACTCGCTTCTCTACAAACTACACAGCCTTTTATCTGATTCAAACCATTTGCTATTGTCCTACGGCTACAGGCCGCGGCGTAGCTTTCTCAGTCGTTCGAGGCGCATCTGAGCACGCTCAAGGCTGGGTTCATGGTGCCCCAAGCCGTGCCAGGTCTCTGCCTGCGTTCCACTCAGCATTTGGAGCCTCGCTAGCTCCTCGTGGAGGGATGTGACGTTCAAGATGGGCACCGTGGTTGGGCGCCCATGAGCACACTGCAAGACAGTAACAGCTTATCTCCATCACTGTACCACAGAGTAACAGCAGAGACAAGGGCTGAGGATTCAACAATCTTCTTACCTGGAAGCATAGAGATGTTGCTTTCAGTTCTTCAATAATCAGACAGCATTCAGATGGTAGTAAGGAGTCGCCAAACATGATCGCTCCTACAGTAAGCCACCAAGAAACATCAAAAAGCAATGTTTTATCAGTGTGAAAATATACAGAAATGCTTGCATCATGGTCAATTACAAGGCGAATAAGGAGTAACCTCTGCAAGCTTTGAAGTTAAGAATACGGAGAACTGCTGGGGGGATATCTGACGATCCATCAGTCTCATCAAGCTGGAAGAAACAGTAATAGGTAACACTAAAGGTAAATGAACTCTAACAAAATCTGCACATACAATTCTTTTTCTCGAACATGCAGGAGAGATGCGTATCATTATATTATAGAAGAAGGAAAACAGATAAAGAACCCTGAATAAGCCACACACACATACAGGAATGCAGATTACATGCTCGCCCGTGACAATTATAGAAACCACCACAAAAACCGCTAACCACTACCCATCGGGGATGCCTGTGAAGAGGTAAAGCCCCGGAATCCCAGCCAATTCAGAGCTACAGCTCATCTGTAGCAAGCAGCAAGGCTCCCAGCTGCTGCTAAGCTAGGCGCCAAGCCATCAAAGACACATCGGTTCCAATTTTTCCAAAGAGTCCAGGCTCGACATACCATTTTCATTCCAGAAAGTATTAAGATGAAAATCTAGGGTCCTTCTGTTATGTGGCCAGTTGGGATGGAGATGAGAGGGCGTGCTACAGTACCGTGTAGCTACAGTGTCCGCGGGTACTGTTCACGGCGGCGGCGGCTAGATATGCCATATTAGATTGATACATCTCCTCTCATTATATAGAGAGGTCGACTTGGCCCCTAAAGCAAGCGATCTCTAATGGGCTAAGGCCCAATAGGCCCTTGACTCCTCTAACACAGATGCGACCTAACAATGATGCTAACTATGGCTTCACTAGACACAAACTGAACACCTAAGAACAAGCCTTTTACATCAATTTCAAATAAACTCGACTCTTTAAGACACACAAACGAGAGGGTTGCACATCAATACAGGTAAACGTAGCTCTTGGATCCAGAATCATGCTGAATGAACTCTAATGCGGAATCAATCATGTCGAAAATCTGCACATACAAAGAGGAGCGCTTCTTCTTCACTCCCATAGAATCGAGTCGCTACTGCTGAACGAAGCACCATGCTCGCGCTGAGACAAGAACGGGTCGGCGCGGTTGTTGTTGGCCGCCGACGGGCGGCGGTCGTGCCCCCTTGCCGAGGTCCATCGCCGTCAAGGCCGCCTCATGCATCTGCCGACGCATCTCTGTAGTCGGCGCCGCGCGCTAGGAGGCCGCGTCTTTGCGCCGCACTAATGTCACCGCCGCAGATCGACAATCACTCTTCTGCGCATTATTTCGCCGCGATGGCGATTATCGCCCGGCCGGCACACCGTGAATGGAGGACGCCGAGGACGAGGCCCGCCGAGCGTGCCCGCGGATGAGGGCACCGGAAATGTTATGGATAGGGTCGCCATCCACTCATCAAGGAACCCTGAATAAGCCACACACAAAGCGCCACAGGGTTGTGGGCGCAGATTACATGCTCGCCCGTGACAATTATGTGTGCCGAGAGATGGGCACCACCACAAAAACCGCTAAACCACTACCCATGGACGGGATGCCTTGATGATCGCAGAGCCAAGGACTAAAGCCCGGTGCGGAATCCCAGCCAATTCAGAGCTACAGCTCATCTGTGGTGGTGGGAAGCAAGCAGCAAGGTCTCCCAGCTGCCGCTAAGCCTTGGAGCTACAGCCAAGCCATCAAAGACACATCGGTTCCAATTTTTCCAAAGAGTCCAGGCTCTCCTACTTGATATACCATTTTCATTCCAGAAAGTATTAAGATGAAAATCTAGGGTCCTTCTCCTCTAACACCTTCACTCGTAGAACTTTTGTGCAAGTGAATGAGAATGTTTTAGTAAAAAATATAAGTTGTACATCATAAGATGGTGGCAGTTACCTGCCAAATAAACTCCATGAGATCTTTCCCAGTCAATTTGACACCCAAAATACATGGAACCTGTGTAGCATAGAAGATATTTAGTGTACATAGATACCACATTACAGTTTTTATCTCTGCAGATATTTGGCATATGACAGATCTGGGTTTGATAGCCTAGTTGTTACTATAAAACGTAAACAGACAATAAATAGAAATACAAATCTATAGACCATCATGTCCAGCAGATTAGGGGAAACCATGTACATAAACTGATAAGAGACAGAAAAGCCACGTGTACAGCAGATTATGCAAAACATATACAATCAGCAATTTCAAACATGTTGAATGGTACAGACAGAAGAAAGGGTGTTCCTTACAGCAACAAGAGTAACAAGACGGACTTGCCTCTTCAAAATGTTCATGTTCCTAAAACGTACAAAGTAAATGATCAAATGACAGTCGTATATTTGATCTATATAGATGAGGGAATCGCTTTTGCACTTAAAGAATAGTCAGAGAATGGTGAAGCACCTACTTTTTGAATGATTCAGATGAATTGCTCCCGCTGCTGATGATCCAGCCCCATTTCTGAATCTGCTCAGCATACTTCTGGAACAGTTGAAACCCAGTCTCAGGGAGAGACTGAAAGAAAATTGGGGTGAGTGAAATATTGAATGTTGCATATTAGTATTAAAACAAGTTCAACCACCATCAATCATATTGATGATAGCATCTAATTAGAAAATAAAATAAGGGTACATGCGTCTTTTATGTTCTCTCTTAATTTGTCCTAAAATTCATAGAATGCACTATATTACAGGACTGAGGGAGTATACCACATACCAATTCCTCCTCAGAGTCCAAGTAACTAACTTCATGTCCTTCTGATAAAACCTGCAGATCGCATCAGTGTATGAGTATGAAAAGCGTAGAACAATGTTGAATAATTGTTCCTGGTCAATGTATTATTAACAACCTTGCTACGGAGCTCCTCTAAACGTATCCTTTCATCAGCTGCATGCTGTACACAGTAAAAAAGAACATAACTTGCTAAATCTTTTTGAAACAAAACCATTTCATCAGCATTTCATATTTAGAAACTATTGTGCACTTAACGATATTAAAAGGCTATGTATTTCCCTATAAATAGTTAAAACTGTAGCAGTAATAAGAAAGCTGACCAAAAGGTTTCCTGAACAAAAATTTAAGTAGCAGGTACACATCATGAACATTTTGCCAATGATTTAACTGATCCAATACAGCAAGCACTAAATAGTATTTCCACAACATGATTATTCCAACAAAAATAATAGGAATAGATAATTTGCTAGAATCTATAACAATGGTGTCAAAGCCCTAAAAAAAATCATGTTATCAATTATGAACCTGGACCCCTTGCTAAATGAGAAAATTTGAACCTGATCGACAAGGAGGATAGTTTCCCCAGATATGACGGGAATAAATTTCTTGTCCAGCTGCAACAAAACCCTTGCCTCCTCAAAGCAGTTCTTGTCAACACATTCAGGAATTAGCGAGCTACAAGAGAGATGTAAGGTCCCAGAAGAAATGCTAAGTATATCATCATAGCATCCAACAGGACCATGTGGCAAGTTCAAAGCCTACAAAGGGAGGTAAAGCACTAAGAAGATAACAAGACACATAGTAGCAAGGACGTATGGAACTTTCTCTGTGTTAGTATCCCAAACTCAAATGCAGCTTAACTGTATGCTGGACAGGGTCATCTCGCCATTTAGTTATTTGAGCAGTGGAGTCCTCAATCCCATCAGAACATGCAACTTCAGACATTTTCACAAATCTGTTCGAGCTGTCCCAAACGAGAGTGTATAGTAACGGGCTTAGAAAGATATTTTCAAGTACTGAAGGTATATCCAGGAAACTAGGCAAGATGAGTATACCTGAAATTTAAGTCTGGAAAATCACCGGTATCAGTCTCAGGAACAGGCTGGGTTGAACTCATATATGAGATATCCACAGGTGCAGGTGCATTGTCTGCATTTGATTAGAAGTGTGTAATGTTAGTTCTCATAAAAATGCAATTCAAAAAGGGCCAAAGTTTGGATGTACCTTCGGGGTTATTGATGCAGATATCTTTATCGCTATCTGTGCTCGGTTTGCTCAGTGGCACATTTAATCTAGAGAATTTCAGTTTCCCTCTATAAAATGGTGGAGCAGAATGACTCCTAAATCTACTACCCTTGGAAGTCCTGGGTCTCTGATTTAGTCCAGAGTTGTGTTGATTCAGCAGATCTTGAGTAAGCAGGCTGCCATTTGCCATATTCGAAGAAGGAACATTCAAACGGCGACCATTATCACTTCTCTCAGGAGAAATATTGACTGACAACCTCATGTCGAATTTTGATTTCCAAGTTATCAGGTCTTCTTCAGAACCAAGCTGGTCGGTTGAACCACACTTATTATTGAAGTAATTAAGCGGCTGTATTTCATTGTCAAAGTTATCGAAATGTTTAGTTCCTTCAAATATTATAGACGAATCATTGCTAAATCTGTTCAAATCAAATCTAATATTGCTGTCAACATTTTTACAGTTCCAAGAACTAAAGCATTTATCTGATTTCCTGTAAAGTGTGTGCAAGGTCCTTGGATGACTGCAAGGCGTATCAGCCAACAAGGATGGATGAGGAAAATGATTTAAAGTATCCTTGATGGAGGACCTATCTATCAAGTCACTGTTCCACAGAGCATGAATATCAGGGAAATTCATCTGGTTAATAGCATCAGCCTCTAGTGCTTCAGCACATCCAGCTGCAGTCCCCAATTTCTTACTGGCTCTGAACTTTTTCAAAATTCTACAGGAGCCCCTGGAAGTGCTACCATCATGATAAAATCCATTACTGAACTGTAACATCTCTGGGTAAGAAATATCAGTGATTGTTTCTGTGGCTTCATTGAAGCAATCCCCATTTAATTTATCAAACCTGTCATATAATCCATCCCAGCCTGAGGTTTGTGCCTTTAAGTTGGTTTTATTTTGCACAAAATCAGACGCCATTCCGTTTGGCCTATTGAGAGCCCTGAAGCAAGATTCTGGTATTTCAACTTCTGGACCAATCAGCTCAGACTCTTGTTTGTGAGTGAAAAAACCTTCAGTTGGCACATCTTCCACCATTCCAAGATTACCAGAATATGCATACTCATGGAATATACCTTCTGTCCTTTGCCTTTTCCAACAAGTTGGGTTAACACTTGAAATATCATCATCTAACTGGGAAGGGCCATCGTCTAACCACTTATAACTGCCACTTTCAGGAGAATGCATTTGCTTATACCCTAACTTGTAATCAATACTGGCAACATTGTCATTCGGGCGGCTTGAATTAGTGATCCTTCCAGAGAAACAGATATTCTGAATGGATGGCTCCATAAAAAAAGAAAAGCAGCGTGAATTTCTTGTTGCTCTTGTGGAACTCATATCACTGTTGGTGTCTCTGATTGCATTCTTCTGCTGAGTGCTTTCGAAGCCAGCATACTCTTTCTCGTTCTGCACATTATGATCTTTCAGGATGCCCTTATTCAATTTCACTGCAACAGCACCGTATGAGAAAAGCTCAGAAGCTTAACAGATAAAAGGATACAAAACTGAAGTCTGTTCAACAAGCCATCAACCATGATTTTTCTGAGGCACATGGGTACCATCAGCACAAGCTCCATCTGCCAATAAAAGATTACAATGCATTCACACCAATAATTGTCCATTTCACAAAGACATAAGCAAGGAACATTGAGGTCGCATTGTCTAACCTTTTGGTGATTGCAGTTGATGCTTCTTCCAGTAATTTGTGACAGTTTGTTCAAAGAAAAGCAAGACAGTTCGCCAATCCTAGAAGTGGGAAAAATAAGGGAGATTAATTAGCCAGCTACAGAGAGTAAACTATTTACAGATGAAACAACATAATGCCATGTTTCCAAATAGGCACAAAGACATTTTGCCTAAGACACAGTCCTACTCATACAGGAACGTTAGCTACATTTTTTAACAACAAAAAAATAGTAACCAGCAGGCGAACCACCTATTTTAATAATTAGGAGAAGCCCAGGGTGTTGTACAAGAGGTGGCTAAACCAAACATTAGATACAAATGAAGCTTACTATAAACAAGGAAACTCAAAAGCATAGAGCTTTAGTGAATCACCTTGAATTCCACAATGGTTTTTGTAGGCTCAAAATGTAGATCGTAGCTGGATCTAGGGCAGTAAAAGTTTAGTATAAAAGCAGGGTAGATGTCAGTCTTCTGCCTCTTCCTGCTCTGAACATCAATTTCTTCATCCCCCCTTATAACAGAAGATTGAAAACTAGACGCCAGATTATTGAGCATATTATGAATCGGGTTCCTATTCACGAATCTTGAGTTGATATCTTTGAAAAGTCAAGGACGTCTCCAAAAATTTGAAGATAGCAAATAGAAGTATATAACAGTGGATTAGCGAGGAGGATACACAAGTATTGGACATCCTGAAAAGGAGAATTGAACTTGCTGAAAACACATCATCTAACAGCTTCAACAGGTCACAGCTTAAACAGTGACTTTACCTTCATACAAAACACATCTGCAGGTCCAGATATGTGACCTGAAAGAACCCAGCCCTGGTCAGAGGCAGTTATCTCATGGAGACATCTGGAGACATCGTCCCCAAAATTTTTTGATATAAGAGGCAAAGGGGATGACGAAAAGGTTGTATATAGCAACTCATCTTCACTGCATTAATAAAACAGGCATGTCAATATGTGCTGTACAAGTAAAATTGTAAAAATGTAAAAATTAATACATCAAGCTTAGCACAATAGATAACCTGTCAATATCAAGGAGTCTGAGTGAAATCTGTGGATGAATAAGCGCAATTTGCAAGACACACTTCTTCACATGATGTAGTTCTCTTTTCTCACTAAAAAAATATGATACGGCTACATATCAATGAAATAATATATTGAGCAAAGCTGTGAATACAAAGACATCTGCACACGAACAGTAGTAACAATTATCACATACCTAGATTGTATTTGTTTCCTCCGTACTGGTTGATTGTAAAAAAGCTCCCGAACAACAACTGCAAAGATGAAAGGCCTGATAACTAGCCCTCATAACATCAGAAAAATATAACTAAAAGTCACGACCGGGGTCTTGAATAGACTGTTACCATCTTACACTATGTACTATTACGAATATAGTGGCACTACTCTGTTTCAAGGAGAAAATAGAACAGTTACCAGTGGTGCCGACAACTTCCCTCTTGTCATCTATCCCCAGATGTATGCATTTAGATCCCTGTGCAATTGTCACAAGAACTCAGATGCACTAGCCATGGATAAATCAAGATTAAAGAAGCTCAGTCTTACGATCATGCCTTTATTATCTTGCAATATGAATTTGGTCTCCCACGAGCTTTCGTCCTGACTTCAACCACAGAGATATCAGAAAGTGATGCGAGTGCTTCTCCATTTAGTCCAAAACTTCTAGAACTGAGCTCCTCGTCGACCATCACATTATGAAATTTGGATGTTGCTGTTGTACAGTTATAGTAAAAGTAAAGCATGTATCATTAGCACAGTTGAACCACATGCTGCCATTGAGTATTTTTAGTCTTTCAGAACCTACACACATTTCAGGGGATGAGCCTATACTTAACGAAAAAGTGAAAAACAAATAACATAATCAGTTTTAACACTGATGGCAAGGCTCCCGGCTTGTCAAATAAATAATAATAGTAATATTTTTTTAACAAATAGAATGGATGTCATTTTTGTTGTTATGTCCTAAGAAAATCAGGAATTCCCTATTCTACATCTGATATCTGTGGAATAAGATGAACATCCAGAAAACCATTTTTCTTTATGTTGTATCATTTACAGCAATAGAATTTAACATGACAAACAGTCTCGTGAAATGAAGGAAAACTGAGAAAGATAGCAAATAAATAATATTAATAATAAGTTCTGGCTTACTATATTTTTCTCCCAAGAGAACCAATTCATCTCGTGTAATACCACAACCTGCAATTCGTACGATGTATGGCAATAATGTTTTTGGAAGATAAACATCTATAAGATTTTTTTTTTAGAAAAAAAGAAAAGGATAGGTACATACCATCATCTTCCACTTTTACATAACAAGTTCTGATGTTTACTGCAATGTCAATCTGAAATTCAAACAGAATAAATGTATGTTGATGATAATGCATGGCATAGAAGACATTATACATTGCCTTTCCCTTCTCCACATGTAAAGCAATACCTTACTCGCATTCGCATCAATGCTATTATATATCAACTCCTCAATAACCCTTGGCAGGTCAGACAGGATAACACTTGAGCGCAAGGAACTATGGACACTCTGCGGCAAGCGCTTTATGGTCTGCATTTACTCATTCTGGGAAAAACATGCTGAAATAAGAAAATAGTTGATAATGAAAGACATATGCTAGCATAACAAATGGGTAACGTAAAATTTCTGTTCAATAAGTATGTTGAAACCAAAGTTTTAATCAACATTTGTAGCCGCATGCAGCGAGACAACAAAATATGGGTATTGCCATTCCCAAGCCAAAATAAAATGTCCAATCCAGCTTTTTTTTTTTAAAAATGCCCAATCCAAAAATACAAAAAGATCCTGCCCACTAAGTCTTCAAATTAGTCGATTTCTAGTTCATTTGCAAAGCTCTACTATCTACAGGTAGAACATGCACACTGATTAACTAAATGACGATATCAATTATGCTAGAACCAGACAAACAATTGAAATTAGAAATTCTCAGCAGCTCGGTAAATCAGTCCTCACCCATGGCTGCACATGCGTGGCTGCCAGGTGCGGATCCAATAAAGGACATGTGTGTACACATGTACACCTGATAATTTTTGGAAAAAAAAAATCAAAGTTAGTAGGCATACTACATGTATACGCTTGTGGTTAGATCCGATCTGAATACAGATGGCCAAATAGCTTAAATGAGGGTTTGGGTCCTCAGTTTGCACAGGAGAAAAGAAAGAGAAAATAAGGGGCGGGCATACCCAGCGGCGGATCCAGGAATGGAGCTAGGGGGGGCTGCTGAGCAATGGAATCTTTAGGAACTAAGTTTAAGCTGGCTTAACATCAAGACCAAACTTGGACACTTCAACTTGTAAATTGATGATGACACTAAATTGAAAAACAAAAAATCAACTAGTTGAGTATTATGTATTTCTGTCAAATAATACATATGGAGTATTTCTGCCAAAAAAAAACAACTAGTTGAGTATTTGTATCAAATTGAGCAATACTTACAAGGCATTCATGTTTTGTAAGTAGCCAATTAACTTCCATTCCTTTTATTACATAGTTACAAGAATTGATTAAAAATTAACAATCGACAATTAAAATGGGATGAAATAATGAATCAATACTTCAATCATGTGCTTGCAGTTTCCATAAGCTGCTAAGCACAACACTGCAGTCTACAGCAGTGGTCAGTGGAGAGGGAGGGGAGAGGCAGTTGCCGACTTTGCCGTGCGGCCGCGCGGAAGTGGCCACGGACCTGGATGCCAGGGGCGTCGTCGTGCTCCGAGAAGCCGGCGGGCAGCGACGGGAGGTGACCTAGGCGCCTGGCTAGGGACGGATTTGGGGGAGGAGGGGAGGAGGGGAAGGAGGCGCCGAGGGACCTGATTTGGGGAGGGCCGGAGGGGGCAGGACCGCGGGAGACGCCGAGGAGCCGGCGGACAGCGACGGGGAGGACGGGACTGCGGGAGGCGGGACTGGAGGAGGACGCCGGACGGTACGAGCTCGAAAATTCTTGCGGGAATGTTTACTGGGCCGATTTCTCTTCTTTTTTCCGCGCACGCCCATGAGACTTGGTTTTCTTTCTTTTTTATTTTTCTTCTCGCTATTTTTATTATTATAACTCTTGTTATTAATAACCATTTCTATTTTTGCAGATCCACTTGTGAAGCCTTTTTCCGGTTTAGGGATAATTTTGTTATTGAAATTTTAATTCATTTTGTAATTTTTTTAGTTCACATATTTTTTATAGTGTGACATGCATTAAAATTTATCTTTCTAGAAGATAATGCATGTGCGATCTCACTAGAAGATCATTCATATATTCGAACCATCTTTAAATTCATGTGCAAATGCAATGTAATTTATCTTTCTACATTTATAGCCTGCTTCCAAAACGTTTGAAAGGTGACACGTTCACAGATCCAATCGCAGAGCCAGGAATCTTGTTGCAACGGGCAACTATGCATACATGGATAACATATCAAGTAGTGTTATCAAAAATCAACTCAACCAAAATTTCCATTCCATTTTATAGTGGTCATTTTTATATCGCCGTACACTTCAAATACATGTATCTACTATATCTAAATAGGAGAGTGCGTTAGCAGATTTCTCTGCAATTCGGTGAAGTCACGTCATCCAAATTTGCTACTGTCCTCTTCTTCATCATAATCAGAAGAAACACCGACGGCTGAACTCCTCCGAACAATTGACGCAGAAAACCACCAGGCAACTGAGCGGTCGTCTCATGATAGTATATCTATATTCCTTGCACTGGCCTAAGCCATTCGTCTCCCTCCTCGATTCTTGAGGCGGCGGCATTGCTGCCCCAGCACAGTAGATGAGGATGCGGTGTCAGCCATGCGACGGTCAGGCGCCAGCGTCTCCATTCTGACCGACGAGGTGAGCGCGATTAGCCAAGGCTTGGGTTCCCGGACTCGACGGAGTCACGGAGGCAGGCTGGTCATCGATTGCGTCGCACAGCCACGTGCAGCTGCGGCAGGTCGATGACCGATCGAGCCGCCAAACGCCGCTCCAGCCCAGGGCTCTTCAAGACACCATCGTCCTCACCTGCCGACAAGCTCTACGGACAGCCACGAGTACTACGGCAGGTCGCTCCACCAGCTTCCACCTTCCTTCCGTCGTCCTCCCTCTCTTTTGAGTGACTCGCTCACCCATCCGTTCGACAGCGTGCGCGCGACTGGCGGCTACACGACCATGCCGGCGAGTCTCCCGGCCCGAGAATGAGTGCGCCTTGCCGCCATGTGAGCTTGAGGTGCGGTCCTCGAGTTGCATCACCTTGCTCGACACATTACATCTTAGGAGTCATGGCGCCACCTACTAGCTCTGGATCTTCCCCTGCTCCAAGGTCCGGCAGGTGTGCTCTGCGCCTCTTCATCTCAAGAACAACAATGATCAGAGGATGCAACTTAAGACCTAACGCCTAACTCCTAGAAACTGAACTTTCATCCAAGCCGCCAAAATCCACATCATCCCAGATGAGTTTGTTGCTCAGAGATCAATGACTAATAGCTCGTGATGGGCATGAATGTGGATCCGTGACCGTCAGTGTCATACGCGTTCCACAAACATAAAAGTAATCAGAGAAGAAAAGGAATGTCTGAATAAAGTGCCAGCGCAGTGAATCATTCAAAGCAAAAATCAGATTCAGAGCAACAATGCACGCCCCCAGTTACTAACACAAGACCACGGGCCCCATGGCTACAAAAATTGGCAAATGCAATGTAAGAAGAACAGAAAGCCCTGTCATTTCTCTCTTCACCTGTGGCGGCGGTCCCGGTCACGCTCCCTACTTCTCCTCTCCCTCCCCCTTTCCCTTTCACGGTCTCGGCTCCGCTCCGGCTCCGGCTCCGGCTCCGGCTCCGGCGCTGGTCCCTTCCATGATCACCTCTCTCTCTTTTCCTGGTTTCCTTTTCATCGTAGTCATCCCTACCACGATCCCTGCTCCTCTCCCTGCCTTCCCTTTCACTAGAACCTACAGCAGTGAATTAACACCAGGTCATGTTCAGCACTGTCAAAGTAAATTCATAACAGAAATTTCCCCCCTCTTCTTCCTTCCCCAAATGCAACAGATGTTCAAATGTTCCAATGACAATCAACAAAAAGCAGAAACTAGACGGTAAATGGTCCCATAACAGTCTAAATCGTGGAGTTCAAATCCAAAGTGTGTCAGAAGAATACCAAGATGCTCAACTTCCCATCCAGCACGTCCAGACCCAGGAAGTGCCTGTGCACTTTCGGTATGCAGAGCCTTAGAGCGAAATTTCTTTTTCAGGTTGCCAAATTCATCATAGATCTCTCCATCATCCTTGAGACAAGCCAAATTTAGACATGGAAACAAATGGCCACTACATAAACAAAAATATAATGTTCAGCAAGCATCCTACCTCCTCAGCCTCTTTCCGACGTTTTTTAACTTCCTCTAGTTCTTCTTCATCAAGCTCTTTGTACCCACCACCACGGCCACCCCTAAAATGAAAAAAAAATGGCAAGGCAAACATTGATATTTGAATAAACACCTTTTGGTTACAAATAGTTAAATGCATGGTTGCTCACTTAATGGGCATAACATACAAACCCCCCACAGTGTGACCGTCTTTTACATTACGTTTCACACAACATGCACTGCATGGTTCACAACTAACCACTCAACAATTGTCAATGGGCCAAAGTAGCACTGCACCTCCTCTGAGTCAATTTCTCAGCCCAAAAGCCAAAAACTGGTCACATGAAGGGCACAACATCACTGCAATTGAGCTGCAGTTTTTTACGGTTGCTGTGTGGCAAAATTCATCCTGGCTGTGAGTGCATCAGGTGTAAAAGCATGATATTCTTATTAATCCCTTACCACATATAACAAATGAGGGCTGACATTCTTCTTTACATGAATTGTTATTGTAATTTACAATATGTTTAATATTCCTGAATCGGTATTATAATTTACAGGATGTTTAGGATACCTGCTAGAGTACAATTTATATTATTAGCTTAAATAATATGTTTTGAACCAACCACACGCAAATAGTGCCTTGTACTTACCTCACACCACCTTCATTGGTACCAGGCTTGGAGGTGTTACATATATTACATTTGCTCCGCTTAGCCCAGTTGATGTTGCCACACCTGGAACATAAATGAAGTTAGGTTTCATATCATCATATCAGACAGCAAGTTTATACTAATAAAGCATAAAAATTGCTGCAGACATGGAGGGTGGCAGTCAAATTTGAGATATATAAAAAGGCCACAATAAAAGGGTGTTGAAAGCACTGTCTTATCGATTTCATGGGGCAGCAATTATATGATGCATAAAAATAAATGTGAAGAAATGAAGATCGGAATCTATGAAACAGAAACACTTAAGTCTTAGCCGCTTACATTGGACATGGCCAATCATTTGGGCCAAACAATCCAGGTGGACCACCAACAGCAGCAGCACCAGCACCAGCATGACTGCTTCCTCTTGCATCAGAGCTACCACGGCCTCTACCCCTACCGCCACCGCCACCACCAGCTCCACCAGCACCAGAAGGGCGTGCAGCTCCACATCGATTACAAACACCACGGAAGGCAAAATTTACATTGCCACAACTGAGAGAAGAAATCATCTCAGATAATCAGAAAGAAAGATAACAATGTGAAGACCATACTAGTCAACTAGTGAACTGAAGTGATAGAGAAGTCGCTCACCAATCATAACAGACCTTGTATTTGGACACATCCAATCCCCATCTTGCTGCCAAGCCTTGCCTGGACCATCACCACGTCCTCTACCTCTGCCTGCTCCGTTATCCAGTTCATCTTGTTCACCGACACCAGCAATGATGTTCAAACTCGTGGGGTTATCGAATGCATCTTTGCTTTTTGACTCGGCTATGTGAACCTGAATAGTGCTCCCATGGAAATCCTTGTTATTGAACCATTCCACAGCAGCTGAAGCAGCATGTGGATCCTCATAGGTGACTGTTGCATCACCCTTTGGTTCATTGGTAACTTTGTCCCTATATATCCAAATTTTTGGGCGCCCAGTCCTTTTGTCCTTCTGTTGCAATTTTACAGCACAGACAAGGTTAAGTGTTCTTTAAATGGAATTGAAAATGTATAAACAATCTTAAAGACTTTTGCTAGTGGCCGAAAAAATGTTACCTGGTAAGACCCATACCTTTAGCAACCCTATGGTGCCAAAATATTCAGCCAACATATTCTCATCAGTTCCAGGAGGTAGATTGCAGACATACACAGAACCATTTTGGGGCCCTCTTGACATATACCCAGCCATCTGTAACAAACCACCAAGTTATGGAAGAGTAGTACCATCATTTCAATTTGTCTTGCTTCTAAAAATACTAAAGAGGTATGAAATAGGCAATATCATCACGGGCATAAAAGTGCAAAAAATAATGCTAACAATGGGATACAGAACAAGACAAGCAGTAAAAAACTGAGAATAAATGAATGGATTGAATAGGGTATTGTGGGTTCATAACAAAAGGCAAGGAGTAAACCTAAAATATGTTGAAGTTGAGAGTATAAGCATTGAACAGCCTCTGGTTAATTTGTAAACCGAATTAATTTGTTTGCAACAGTTCAGACTTAAAATGTTATGTAATTTCAGTTGACTATCACTTCTAGAAGATCTGCAATTTTATAAGACTTGTGGCATGAAATCTTGAAGTTCAACTATTAGTTAGTAGGAATGTGTAGTAATGAAATTCGGCTTTGCCGTTGTGGAAAAAAGTTAGTAGGAATGTGGATTCTAGAGATAAGGAAAGAAAAAGACAAAGAATATCAATTTATCATTACCATATAAGAAAGGAAAAGGAACACCTGGTGTCAGCTCCCAAGAAATCTGTAAGCTAATCGACAATGCTGTGTGACAACATTTCTTTTACCATCCAACCATTTGCATAAGAGCTCTCAACTAAAGGTACACGGAAATTAACACCAACAGCTAACAAGCTAAGTCCAGACAGTGGATAAAACTGGCAGGAGAAAACCATGCAACAGATACAACGCATCAAACCCTATAGGTTATCAGATTTTTGGATCACACAAGGGCATAAGTTCAGCAGGCCACACATGTACTCAAGCTCAGCATGACCGGAAGCGAAGGACACGATGAATCTCACGAACAGCTAGAACGTCGAAACAGCCTCGCAGACGCAGGTACCACGACAGAGGGATCAAATCTACCCCAGGTACTAGGGGCGATGACGATCTACCATCCTCCCCAATAGGGGCGGACCCAGCAAGAATATGGCTTTACAGTTTACACATGTATGCCCGATAATTTTTGCGGAAAAATCGAAGTTAGTATGCATAATACACGTATAAAGTTCTAATTCGATCAGATCCGAATACAAATAGCTTATGTTAGGGTTTGGGTGCTCAGTTTCGCACAGCAGGAAGGGAAGAGAGAGGGAGGGCATGCCTGGTGGGTGCTCGTCGCCGGCGAAGGGCTCAACGAAGGCCTGGGCACCTCGCGTAGGGCGGCGGCGGCGGCGGCGGCGGCGGTAGCGGTCGCCCTCGCCCAGATGGAGCGCACGCTGGGTGAACGGGAAACGGGGTTTGATGCGGATTCACAGTGACTTCCCTTGGGCAAGTCACGCCGTGATTTTCTCCCTACCATCCACCCTCCAATCAAGATCCAAGGGGCTAGATCGATTTGAGGCCTATAACTTGTTATTTATTTATTTATTTATCCCACAACACCAGCTGCAGCAGCGAACGAGCCGGCACGACATGTATGGGCCTGTTTGTTTGAACTACTTTTCAGCCGAATTAACCTATTTTAATTTATTCTTCCCACGTAACACTATTGAATCAGCCGGCTTATATACCAGCCAAACACTCTAATGGCCATCGGCACACGGTGCGTCCGGACATCCAGAGTCCGGACAGACGCCCGTGGCTCCGATCTGTTTTCCCACGTTCACGTATAGGTCCACGTTGGTCGTAGGTTGCTCGCCCGCGCTCTCGCGGCCACACGGGGCCCGCGCTATCGAACGTCGCTCGCGTCGCTACGGGGACCGCTCGCGCCCTGTTCAGCTTCCCACGCGTATCTATGGGTAACATCCAAACTACTTTTGAAACATTCGGATGCTACACTTGCGACATAAAAAAAGATAGATGAAACACTTGAAACATGCGTCTGAAATACTTACAAAAATGCTTGACAACCATTACAAACATACACAACATCCAAATAAAACACTTACAACATATGTGTGAAAACATATGCAACATCCAAATAAACACACTTCCAACATACGTCTGAAAAATAGATGAAACATTGGAGATGGTCTCTTGTAATAACATACATGTACAACCATTGCAACATATGCGACATCATGATCTATTTTTGCAACATCCGTTTGAAACTCTTGCAGCATACCTCTAAAACACCTGAAACATTTGAAATGTGAACTTGCAACATGCATCATATCCCGGTGCGGCCTCCTCCGCCGTCTGCATCTGGGCGCCGTAGCTGTAGCAGCAGGCGAGGCCGAAGGGCTTCCGCACCAGGGCCTGACGCTTCTCCTTGCGCTGGCGGCACCTGTCGATGTCGTCGGGCCGAGCGGGTGGTAGAGCAGGAGCAGCGGGGCGGGCGGCGGAGGAGCAGGAGGCAGCACGGGGCGAGCGGCAAGAGCACCGGAAGAGGGCGGACGGTAGGAGCAACGCGAGGCGAAAGGGGACAGACGCAAGGTTTATTGGGCTGACTTGTCCGTAGGCCTAGTGGCGCGATGTCTGGACGTGACGGACGCCTGCGTCCTATCATTTCCACAGTGACACAGCACCTATCAGGTTCGACAATGCTAGCGCATCCCAGCCCAAGCCTTGCATGTCCGCCTCCCGCGCTATCTTCCTCATGGCGTCTACCGTCTACGTCTCCAGCGACCACGCTCTAGACGATGAATGTCCCAACCGCGGAGGCGTCGTGGACCGGATGTGCCTGGTGCCGTACTCCAGCAACAGGAACGTTGCGTATACTGCATGCTGCTACCACCCTTCGGTGTATAATTGATGAGCTAAAATGTAAATATATAGTCCATCATTAATATTTTAGCATAAATATGCACAAAAAATATGTACACTACACGACGATGCATCGTGATAAACTCTAGTGATATATAGTTGCGTATACGAAAAACGGGAAGGGCACGTGGGGACGGGGATAAAGAACCATCCGATCTCCACGAGTCCTGTCGGGATGCCTTTTCCAAGTTCAAATCCCCGTGGGAAACTAGGATTGGGGCCTTGACTCATGGCATGCTCGGCGAAAACAGCAAAGAGGTGGTCGTGAATGATGAGGGTGGTCGTGCTTGTCTCCCTTATGTCCCAACCCTGCCATCTAAGCTTGCCCGAGAAGAATTGAGTGGTCAAGAAGCAGATCAACAAAGGAGTAAGCATACAACTTCAAGGAGTGTGAACGTGAAGAATACATTGATAGTGAAACGGAAGTCATTTGCTGTTAATGCTCCAAAGCCTCCAACAGAGAAGTGGTGGAAGTCATCTGCTTCGAATGTGCAATTTGTGAGGTCCCCACTACTGAATAGGATCCTAGCATCGCCAAGGATGCGCCACTCCAGAGCCAAACACTAGAGGTCACCATATGTAGGATTGTCATCTTCAACCTTACCCGATGATACAAGAACGGCTGCTTCTCCTAATCTTGGTCGATGTTAGATTTAAATTGCTGCGTGCACTATCATTATTTATCCTAATCTGCTGCTTTAATGTCTACAAACAAACCAGTATATCTATTTGCTGCTTTAATGTTGTCCTAATCAATGCTTGTATACTTATGCTATAGATTCATCCAGAACAGTTAAAAGGCACAAATCTATCAACAGAGCCCTCGGCTGGCGCTCCACTGCGGTAGAGGAAGATGAGGTAGGAAAGGATGAGGGTGATGAAGCATCCAAGATCCAGGCACTCACTTCTGGGTAATGATTCCCTCAGTCCTCACCTCCCTTTAGCAACTCTTTGCGCAGTATTTATTTGGTTCCTAAAATTTCAAAGTTAAAATTTACTATCTTCAATCCAGCCGTGACGGGATACATATGGAAACTCTACCATTTGAGGCTGTGCTAGAAGATGTAGGACAACAAAGGAGTATGCAGCATCAAGGAGGCAAAGATGCAGCATCAAGGAGCGTGGATAGGATCAAGTCCTTGCTGTCAAAACGGAAGTCATCTGTTGTTAATGCTTCAAATCATTCAGAAGGAATGCAGAGGAAGTCATCTGCTTCACGTGTGCATTATGTGAGATCTCCGGTACTTAATAGAATGCTACAGTCACCAAGGATGAGCCAGTCTCCGGTACTATCTGCAAGATCATCATCTTCGTCTTCATCTGATGATACAAGAATAGTTATTTCTCCTGATCTTGGCCCAGGTTAGATTTAACTTCCTACATATTGAAGCAACCGGTTTATGTCTCAAATTTTTCTTGCTGTCTTCACTTTGTTGATTTGTTCTGTCTTGGTTAGGGTCATGTTTCTACTATCCTGGTCCTTTAGATGAAAATCGAATATTAATTGTATACTTGGTCCAAGTGAATTTTCTTGCTGCATGAGATGCCTTTAGTTACTGACTATGTATACTTTAGTAAATGCTTGTACTAATCAATACTTACATACTTATTGTATAGATGCATCAAGACCAATTAAGAGACGTAAACTTAGATCTGATGTGTGGAAAATTTTTGAGTCTATTTATGAGGGGAATCTAGTATTACAAGCTAATTGTATTCATTGTTTGGAGCTCTTGTCTGCTACTCGAGATAATGGTAGAAGTGCTTATCGTAGGCATTTGAAAGTGTGCAAAGAAAGGACTAGAATGAACCAGTTGGTTGAAAGCATGAACACAGGACTATCCCCTGATTCACTAGCTCTGAAGAATTGGAAGTTTGACCAAGAGGTCTCACGTAAAGCCATGGTCAACTTTATCGTATTGCAGGAGCTGTCCTTTAGTTTAGTTGACCATGCACCGTTTTAGAAATTTATTGCTACCTTAAATCCTTGGTTTACCATAGTGTCTAGAACTACAGTTGTTGAGGATATTATGAGCTCATATGAGGATCGAAGGTTAGCCCTTTGGGAAACTATCAAAAATTCAAATTCAAGGATCTGTCTAACTGCTGATCTGTGGACTTCAAATCAGAACCTAGGTTACTTTGTGCATTACTTGCCACTTCATTGATAATGACTGGATGTTGCAGAAGAGAATAATAGGTTTTGGTCTTGTAGCTTTGCCCCATGATGGGTTTACTTTGTTT